ATTTATATAATTGGGTTAAAAAATAGCCAAAATATGATTAATCTGTATATAGGAAAAAAAAGAATATATTTTATTATTCCAAATATTTTAATTTTTGAAAAATGTAATATTACATACGATGTCTCTACATTGATTATCATTATAATTATAACTATGTAAAAAGAAAATTAAATATTTTGTATGTATTAAATAAATAAATATGAATATAATTTTTCTAAAATAAATAAATATGAATATAATTTTTCTAAAATAAATAAATTATGTATATCCTATTTTCATATTATTGTACATTATCAAATTAGTATTGTTCTTATAGCCATACGTATTTTAATATAAAATATATGCATACATTATTACAAAAAATAAATTCACATATTTTGTGTATAAATATATATAAATAAAAAAAAATTAAATTTTAAATTGTAAAATGTACACAAAAAAAAAAATAATAAAAAAGAATTAATTGTATATTGTTGTTGTATCTTTCTCTCAGTTAAAAACAATTACACTTATAAAAAATATATGTTCATTAGTAAAATTAGGTGCATTTAAAAATATAACTAAAATTGATAAATATATTTCTATATATGTATAAAAATAATATAAATTATTTATATTTATTGTAAAGGGAAAATGAATTGGAATATATTAAAAAATAAATAAATGTGTTACTAGTATTAACTTTGATAAATGATTATTTTACATTTTAATTTTTAAAACAGTTATATTATTTGTTAACAACATTTATTTTGTAGTGTTTAAAAGTAGTGTCCATAAATATATAATATTTAGTTAGGTGTTTGCAAAGATAACTATTCAACAAAATGTTTCTTTAAATCACTTTTCATATATAATACTACTGTTACATTAAATAATGTTAATTTCTGAGTTAAGAAATTATGCTTATTTCTTATTTGACATAATATATAATATACTACAATTTTACGATATATATTATAAATGTAAATATTAGAACAAATATCATAGAAAGAATTACAATATTCACTATATTTGTTTTATATATATATAACATAAAAATCATATATTATTCATTAAATATAATTGTATTAATAAATATTATTAAATATGATGATAATATATTTAACATAAATAATTGTTACTTATTTTTTAGTAATTTAAGTAATTATATAATTATAATATAATTATGATATATTATGTTCGTTGTTATATTATGTACAATAGCTCAACTTTATACATTTTAAGTATCATATGTTTTTCATTCTTTACTATTTAAAAATTAAACATAAATCACTAGTATATGTGTATGAACATATATATGAGAACTTATCATTGGGTTTTTATTTATAATATAAATTACTATATTTATGTGAGATCATAATTTAATTAGAAGCAATTATTATTAATTAATATTCACATATAAATAATTTAAATGAGCTTCTTAAAATATATTTATACAATTATATTATATTCTTTTATATAATATATTCTTGTATATCGTATTATACATAATATCATGTTTTACATTATTTTTTTTTTTTTTTTTATAATATAAAATTTTATTTCTCGTTATCTTTAGATTTTGAAAAAAATTACTGGGTTTCAGGATACAAATTTAATGAACTTTTCTGATTTATTAAATTTTAATAGTAATATCATTATGTATCTAATTTATGTATATTATAATTGTCAATATATTTTTGCAGAATCTAAATTTATAGAAAATTTTCTAGAAACTTTAATTATTGTACAATATATGTAAATATTTATAAATTTATATTATCATATTTAGCTTAAAATAATTTTTTTTTTGGAAACTTTGAATATATTTGTATCATTATTTTAAAAGGTTTTAATTTGAATAATTATATTTTTTATTTTTCTGAATGAATTTTATTTAATTTTTTTATGTAATGTAGAATTTATTAGCTATTATTATGTGTTTGTTAGGAGTAAACTTTCAGTGCTTTATGCTATACGACAACTTTTATCTTATGAATCATTGTACATCATATCATTTTAATTCATTAGATCTATATTCTCTTTACATTTTCTGTTAAATTTTTTTTTTAATTTTCTTATCATTGGTTTTAGAAATGATAGATATAATGTATACTGATAAAAAAAATATATATACTATTACTGTTTTAGGTACAATATTTGTATTATAGGCATTATGCATCATAAATGCAATATAACGTAGAATATAATATAAATTTTATAAATTAAAATATTTTTATAACCTTACACAGAATAAGTATAATTATTAATATAGAAAATATTAAATGAGACATTCATGATCCTGAAAAAAAACTTATGTCTCCTGTTACTAATTTGAGTACCTCTGACAATGTTACTTTTTTGCTTTCCTGGATTTGTTACATTTGGTAATGATAATTCTTCTGTTATTTATGTTTTAACTTGTTTTTCATGGGGATGTTATGTAGTTTGTACTAGTTTTTGCTTTTCTTGAAACATTGTGTTTTGTTCTTCCGGTTAATTAAAATATTTTTTTTTTTTTTTTCATGAGAGGAGGGTACATTTAATATATATTCTCTATTATGATAATCATAGCATGTTGTGTATCCCTCATTTTCCCTTATAAATTTTTACATTAGAAATAGGACCTCATGTTCTGCCCATATATCTTTATTATCTAAAATTTTCTTATATGCATCATAAATGATTTTACGATAAATATAATCCCCAAAACGAGAACTTATTTGTAAAATATTTTTATGTATTATAACCATATAACGAAAGATGTTGGATAATATCATTTTTTTCTCTTATTTCAACGTGTTTTATAATACCATCATTAGCGTTATTAAAAATATAATTGCATATATCCAGTGTTTTACAATATGGAATATGTTACTGATTCATATAATTTTGAATTACATCATCATAAGATAGATTAGATGTGTTCTATTACAACCAGTATATATTTATACATGTATAATAATATATATAAAGTAAGTGCAAGTGTGGACTACATTTATTTTTGTATAATGTAATTTTTCTTTTATGTAACATAAATAACGCAGAGATTGATAAAATACAGGTTACTAATCGTGCAAAAACATCATTATTTGCATTTATTTTACAATTTAATTCATTGTATAATTCATATAATCTACTATTTAATCCAATATATGGAATTTTGTAGTTAATATGATAATTATTTTAAACAAAATTACAATTATAATCATATATTGGAAATATATCATTAAAATCAAGCTAAATATAAATATAATTATTTATGAAGAAATAAAAAAAATATATTTTTTAATTTTATATATTTTTTCATTTACACAAACAATAGTAATTTAATTACAAGAATATTATTAATTATTAGAATAACTTGAGGAAACAAACAATTTTTTAACAATTTTAATTAGAGATATTATGCTTTACGTTTGTGTTAATACAAAAAGTTTATGTATACTTTAATACAAAATTCTGCGTGAAAAAATATTATAATAAATATTATTTTAATATCATTTCAATTAACATTTATAAATACATTATTATTTTTATTAAGTTGTGATTGTGGATAAATAAGTTTTTACAGTGTAAGGTGATACATTTGTCATTAAACAAATTATATAAATTTCAATTAATATTTATATTCAAGAACAATTAAAGTACTAAGTGTAACTCTATGATGCTGGTTATAGAGGACGTATATATATTCCGTTATGAAAAATAATTTTCAGTCTACAACATCCCAAAGGAGAAAATATAAATTAAATTTTTTATAGTTTCGTAAAAATGAAATGAGATAGTAAAATATATAAAAAATGGAATGCATTGTTATCTTAATATAAATGTAATAATTAAAACGTTATTTTCAAAGGTAGTCCAATTTTTTTTACCTATTATTTACGTTGTATAATAGAAGTATGGATGTATGTGATAATCAACATAAAGATATTAAAAATTCCATTAGAAACATATTTTTGTTCACATTTGATTATAAATACACTATATTATATTTAAAGAAAATTATATGTTGCATATATAAGGAGAATATTCTAATACAACTTTTAATTTTTGTGAATTTAATAAAATTAATATATTTAAAATAATATAAACATAATAGCATCAGTTAACATTATATTTAAATAATTGGAAGTTAATATAAATGTTTTACTCTTAATGTATATATATATAATAAATGAATGTATTATGCAATATTTATAAATTATATGAATTAATAATAATAATATATCTTTTGAAAGCGGGAATTATAGTGTCCATATAGACACAATAACATTATAAACGCAAATTATAGAATAAAAAATATATATATATAAATATCTATACTAAAAATATTAATGATAGGGTTCCCGTTATGTCATAAGATATCTATTATTTTCCATTAGTTTTGAGCATCATATAACTACATAAACCATATAATAAATTTTAATTTTGCTTAAGTAATATTATTTACATTGAATAACGATAAACTAATAATATTACTTATATTAAAAAAAAAAAATTAGAGATTTTGACTTTGTAAACATATATATTAATATATATATATTAGTTTAAGCATGAAAAGCTCAAGTGAGCATTAAAAAATTAGTGTAATGAATGTTTTGTGCTTTATACATTTGTATTATTATTAAATTTTATAGAGTATGTAACTAAATAGTGTTATGGTATTCTATTATCTTGAATATATTACAAAAACGTGCTATAAATAATTGTATTATTAACGATAGATAATAATCTATAACATGTAATATAATTAAACATATATTATTTTTGTATGTATATAAAATAAGTTTTTTCATGAATAGCTTTTTTTTTCAAGGTAATTTATAATTATTTTATATAATATTTTGATTATTAATTTTTATATAAATATACTTTTAATATCTGGTTAATACATATTGATTTTTATTTGATTCATTTTTCTTATTCATTAAAATAGCAATTTGTAGATATATTTTCTCATTTCTATTGCTCTTTTAATGTATGTACCATTACAATATATTCTGAATAATAAAATATTACCCAGAATGATACTCTATAAAATGTTCTTCTTCATTCATATAATTTTGGTTATATGATTCTGATGAGTAATCAAATAATATATTTTTCCTTTTATTTATGTCACTTATAATATTTTTTCTCTGTCCAAATATTTTGCGCAAATGAATTTCCATGGTTGTAAACTTGTACATAAAAAGAAAAAAATAATAGTTTTATTGATTAATTGTTGCTTTTTTTAAAGGGGGGAACTATTTAAATAAATTTATCTCTAATTGTATTAATAAAAATATATTTACTTTATACAAAATGGAAGAAAGTACTGTAAATAAAATTAATCCAAGAAAGGTTTTTCCCCAAATGCTTACAATACTAGATCTTTCAAGATTTATAAATAAATCAGTAAATTGTTCTGTTCCATAAATTGTTAATAAAGAATTATCTTCAAGTGCAGGTCCATCCAATGATATATCATGATTATCAAATGCCTTTGAATCTATTGCACCGGATTGACCTTCTGATGAAGTTTCACTTTCTGATCTTGTATGAACGGAAATTGTTTTTTTTCTTTGTACAGCAGAATTCTCAGAAATTCTTTTCTCCGCTTCAATATAATTATTAATCTGAGATAACGCTTCGTATGGGCTAGATTCATTACATTTAATAAAAAATTCTGGACACTCATGATTATTTTGTTCACTATAATATGCTTTAAATCCCTCATATAATTTAGTTTTTCTTTTAAAATACTCACAAATGATATCTCGCATATCCTTATAGTACTTAGGAGTATTGAGCAATGTTATATAATCGATGCAGTAATTATATAACTCTTTCCTTTTTATCGAATTATGTTGATATATAATTTCAAATTTGAGACTACATTTATTGTAAAATGAAGTATATATAGAATTTCCAACAAGTGAATTCCATAACAATTGAAGTTTAGCAAACGTATCAGTAATGGGATCAGGTTTCCCATGATACAACCAAGATAACCTATTATATATCCAATAATTCAAAAGTTTGGACTCATTGTAGTCATTTTTTTTTTAATTTATTTTTGTATTTGCAGTACTTAGATGTAATAGGAGTACTGAACAAAGCCTTCTATACAAATCACTTTTATGTGTAGTATTGAAAAATTCACATATTTCATGATACACTTTTATCTCATTTTGGTTAAGTCTCCAATAGTCATTATTATAATTAAGAAGATGAGGATCCAATTTTTTATAAAATTTTGCTTATGGTAACCATAGTTTGTAATTTTCAAAATATTCCTAATAAAATTAAAATTATGTACTTGCTTAAATATAGGTATCATAGAATTTATTATATAATAAACAATAATATACACAATAAAAAAATAAATGGAATAATTATAACAATCTATAGTGTATAAATACTACTTTTAATTTATTTTGTATATTTGTTCTTCCCATAATGAAAAATATATCAAATTATTATTTTTTTAGAGACATTAAAAATTTATGTATTTAATGCTTCTAGGTATTTATAGTTACATTACTTATAAAAGATATCATTAACTGTTATTCCAATATGCAATACAATTTGTAAATATAATGCCTGCATAAACGAAATAATTTGCATTAATTATATAAATGATTAAAAGGGAAATTTTTTAAATTGGATCATTAAAATAAAAATTAAAGTGAAAAAAAAAATGATTTTATATATTAGACGGCGTTATTATATTAACATAGAAGTAGGTGCAGCACATTATATATATGCTAGTGAAATAATAAAATATGTAAATTAGTACAAAGAATTACTTAAATAAGAAAAGTATATGTTTATATTATAAATATTTAAGATATAATGTTAATATGAACACTTATTATAACATTTGACATATCCTAATATGTGGACATTATTTAATTTTGTAATCATAGACGATAAAAATGTATAATAAATATATTCTTACATTTAAAAAATAAATAATTTGGGAAATACATTTATATCAAATAATCATTCATCTTAGATTGCATAATTTTGTCTTCTGTAACATTTAAACATGAATATATATCAATGCTAAGTTGTATCTAAATAAAAAAGTTATTCTAAATGATTGAAACAACTATAAGTGTAAATATTCATTTGATAACATGACAATAATACCCATAAATGTAATTAAAAATAATAAATTAACTGAAAAATGTGTGTTTTAATTATATTTAAAATGAAGAAAAAATTAAAATGTGTAATATTATGGTTTAAGATACTCCTTGATTTGTAAAAATTTTTGGTTTGTACTTTGTATGAATATTGATTCTTATATATTTATTTGATATATTTCTCGTTGTAAAAAAGTTATGCATTAAATACAAGATATTTTAATTATCTATAACTAATATTTACTGTTTGCATTGGAGATTAAGGATTAGGAATTTTTTGCTCTTATCCAATCTTTGATATAAACATATTAACATTAATGCATATTAATTTATGTTAGTTAATCCTAATTCTGGCATGGCTTATATCTTTGATTTCATATTGTATAAGAACTGATATGAAATTAATCTGCCATGAAAATGAAGTTTATATACATTCTCACATATTATGCTATATATATATTTTATAAAATTTTGTTAAGAGATTTATTTTATTGTACCTATGTGACAAAAGTAATCACGTGTTGTATTACGATTATGCTGTATTAATAGAAGAGTTATAATTATACTACTTAAATAAACAATGCATATGTTCTACATATATTAATTGGATGTTCTTAGGAATAGGACGATATATGTAAATTTTTTAATAATAAAACTTCATAAAAGGAATAACATTTTACACATGGAATTTAAATAATAAAGGAGACAACAGAACACAAAAAAATAACAGAAGAATTATAAGGATAATGTGTTATAGAATAATTTTCGTACTAAAATAATGTCTGAAAAAATTTATAAATTGTACCCTTAATATATATATATATATATAATTGTTGAATACAAACTTATGTTTCATTTTTTCATTTTTCCTATTTCATCTAGTAAAAAATTGTTAATTATATTTTCATATATGAAAATTCCGTACATATTAAAATATTATTTTCACAGAATGACTTAAAATTTCACAAAATATTTTTATTAAAAATTGAAATAGTTCATTCCTTTTTACGTTTTATAATATAAAAATGTTGCTTTTTCTGTTTATCCAATATTTTTTTATTTTTTATTATATACATTTATGTCGGTCATATTAAGTTAAAAATTTTTTTATCAGATATAGTATGAATATGTATGTTTTTAATTTGTTTTCCATTTCATTTAGATGCGTTAGATTACATGATATTTTTCATCCAAATTCCCACTTGTGTTATTATTTGGACATGAAAACAATATATGGTAATATTTTATTGACTAGTTTATGACATTTAGTATTTATATATTTTTCAATTTATTTTATTTTTACTTTATAATTAAGAAGTCGTTTACGTAGTTCAAATACTACCTTATATAAGTGTTGTTCTTTCTCTTTTATTATATATAATATTAAAAATATACAATCACTAGATATTACAGAGAATACACAATGAAATATAAGAATTTTATAATATCTTTAATTGTGACAAATACAAAAAATCATAATTATTATACATCTCTTAAAAAATAATATTACTTCCCCTTATTTTTTTTTTTAGATATACATAACTTGTGAAATTAAGAAATATATCACCTTGATACATCATATTTTTTATTTTTTTTAAAAAAAATATACAATGATAATTAGGGAAAATAAGTGACCTCTTTGTTACTGAGTGAGTTTTCTTTTGTTATCAATGTTTTTCAAAATTCACAATTAAATTATTAGGTAACAATAAGATAAAGAAAACATTATACAACATTTAACGTGAGTATTTTTAATAAATAGTAATATCTATTAAGGTTTACTACATTATTAACATGTGTATAACTTTCCAATTATTGAATGATATATATATTTTATTGTACATCATTCTTATTACTGCAATATTTTCTTTAGTACATAATAATAGTTAACTACATGATATGAAAAGAATGATACCTATATATTATTATTTAAAATGCTTATTAATATTTTAAATTATATTATATTTTTTCTAATATAGAATTTATTTAATTATATAAATTATATACAACATATAACATTTTTGAACAATTAATATAAATAATAAAAGTATATGTTTTGCTTTTATCACCTACTATATCTTTTATTATTATTTTTCTCTTTTGAACATTTATTTTATTATTAATTTGCATTAATTTATTCTCTATAAAAATAATGTATTATATAAAATTTTTTATGTAACATTATTTTTTAGGCTTATTCTAATAATGGTGTTATTTTATATTTGAAATTATAGCACTTTTCTGCTGTCAATTTTCTTATATGAATTACATTTTAATTAAATTATTTTAAAAGATTTCATAATAAGTATTATGTAAATACACTTTTTGAATGTTATCCCAAAATTTTTTCGTTCATAAATTTGCATATGCTATGTCATATCTCTGAATATATGAGTTTATATCCATACTATCATGTACGGGGTATAATAATTCTTTTTCATCATCTCCATCGTAAAAATTACTTGTCGCTTTCACTCTATTACTCGAACGAATCATGTTACCAATTGGAGTGAACTAATAAAAAGGATAATAACAATTTTATGTATTTTTAAATATTACATATTTATTAGTAGAGCTTAGCGCAAAAATAGATTTCACTATTTTTCTTATTTTTCAAAGGGTATTATAATCACCTTATAGATTAAGAGCAAAAGGAATGATACACAAGCAATAGTAGCAAGAGATGTAGGTAAAACCTTTTTTATTGATGAACTTGAAATAAATGATTCTGAATCTGGTAGCAACTTTAATGCATCATCCAATTGCTGTTCGATTAAGTCTTCATGTTCATCATCTGGCAATTGTTCTTCAACTATACCTAATGGTTGCTGCACTCCATCATTCTGTATGCATTGGGGAAATATTAAATTGCCTTCATGTTTTAAAGATGGTACATATATTTTTTGATTCTGTATAGATTCATGATTTTTGAGATATACATCATATGTTGTCTCAAAATTTTTTAAATATAAACATGTTTTCTTTTCCCTTTCAATAAGATCAGTCATGTTTGAAGAGCAATACTTATTATTCACATGTCGATATATTGTTACGACTTTATCGACAAATTCTTGACATGTGCATTTCATTACTTCATTATGATCAATCAATGAGTCCTTAATAACGCCTATGTTAGACTCAAATATATTTAGCATTACAATGGCAAGGGGTTCTACATAATTTTTTTGGTAGAAATAATATGGACACTTATTTTTATATTCCAGTTTAGTAGCCCCTTTTTCAATAAGATTGAAAAGATAACTAAAAAATATACCATTAAGGTTATATTTTATTATGGAAATATATAACCAATTGTTTAAAATATTACAATATTCATCATCATTCTTGCAATCCTGTTTGTTATTGCAAAATATACCTAAATTTTTTAAAAGTTTGACACATATCTCAGAATAATTTTCTTTTTTATTTTCCAATTAATGTGTAATTGAGTTACAAAAATTATGATATAATGTGTTTTTTCTTGACTTATCCACTTGTTCATCTAATTTATCATACACATCCCATACTTTCCGTAGAAATGGATACTGAAATTAAAGAAAAAATACATCATTTTTATATAAATAAATCAAGATTAGAAAGTTATAAAGTGTTATATAAAATTCAATATGTAATATTACATATAAAATTATTTCCAAATGATATATAAAACAAACGAACTTGATTTCCAAAATTTTTAAAATGAAGGGCAAACTTAGACATAATTTTTTAATTAAAAGACAAAAATCATTTCAGTATGTATATTAATAAATAAATTATCATAGTACATAATATATGTATATATTATGTTTATTAATATGTTAAAAGTGTAAGTAATTATATATTAGCGTTAAATAAATATTAATTCATTTATGTATTAAGATAAATATAATAATATGAAAAATAGGTATTTAATTTTAAAGACTATATGTTGTAATAATGGGTTACATAAAATTATTATATACAAATATTTTTACATGTATAATAAATAAATCTATTAGACCTATGTATATATTGGAACTAAATATTATATTTGTCAATAAATATAAAGATGATTTATTAAACATATTCTATTTAACATAAAACATACAACCAATTAACTCATGTCTTATTAATACATATATTAGTATACATAAGAGTATATAGTTTTTATTGAATAAATTATTTATTTTCAAGAATAATAGATTATTAATTATGGTTAATTATGTTGCTAATATTAGATAATATATTTAAATTATAATATTTTTTGTAGGCATTAAACATGATTAATGCATACGAATAATGTAAAATGAATAATACACATTATATATTTAAATGAAAATAAAACATTTTATATTTTATTAATAATGTTTATTATTTTCTTAATGTTTTAATAATGAATACATTCTTACATAATTTTTATATTTCGCAAAATAATTTAACAATGATATAGCACTTTCGCTTTTTTACGTAGAAATTATTATTTATTATCTAATATACAAGAAAGGTTTAACATAGTCTAATTAACTGAGTTTAATTTTAAGCATAATATTATTTTAAAAATTGGATGGTGCGTAATACAAATTATGTTTAATATATATAATAATAGTATGGTACAACATATGCTTCCACAAGAAAGCTAATAAGAAGAAAATAAATAAGACATAGAATTTCATATAGAGAATAAAAATTTATGTATTTAAATTATATCTATATGAGAATATATTTTCTCATACATAAATATATTTATTTAAATATTTCTCAATTTTTCACGCATTATAGTAAATTAATGGTTATACATATCACAGTAAATTTTCGTTTTCATATAACATAAAAAT